ACTTTTACTCTTCCAATTCTCTCCCCCATCCCACCGGGTGGGGGGGAGTGAGCGAGCGGCTGCGTGGTGCTTAGTTACCGACTGAGGTTAAACCACGACAGCCATACATCTCAAACAGTGCCCTAAGCTTCTACCAGGGCACTGCCTGGCACTACGAGGCATTTTGGGGTTACACAGGACAGGAGGAGTCTTCAGTTGGCACTGTCTTATTTGATACTCATAATTAAACATTAATTTGCTCAGGGATTTGAATCCAGGGCTACATCTATATTCATAAAGTAGCATCAGACAACATTCCTTGGCACTGGAACTCCATCATCTGTCCTGCTGAATTGTTCTAGTGGTCCCTGGCTTGCCCTTGGCCCGTGCTAACTTGAATGCTCCCAAGCCGTTTCCCAGCATGGTTCAGGAGTTGGCACAGGCCGTTGCAGTGGGCAGCTTGCATGCAGCCCTGTGTTGGAGGGTAATAGTACGGATGCCGTCTGTTCTGTGCCGGTTGGCATCAGTGCCAGGGACAACCCTGGGCATATTTAATTTCCTAGTATAGGTGCAGCTCACCAGCTCCACTTCCTACCTCCCTGTGAGAAATCTCTCTCATTTGTTCAATACGTTTTTCAACCCAATATATAGATATAGAACAGTGCAAAAAAGGGGGACTGAGCATTGTCTACCCAGAAATCAGGGCAGGGGTTTGAATTGAGAACTCCCCAATTTTCTGATGGAGGGTACCAGTCATCAGACAATACGTGTTCGCTGAGGCAATTTGGTCTCATATTGCAGCGATCAACTTTTTTATGGTGAACTTTGATACTATATGAGTCAGAGGTACAGGAAGGAGAATGACCCGCCAGCCTGGTGAGTAGGCATGCTTTTGGGAGGGGAAACTCCTGGGCACTCGTCTCTGCTTTGATACATGTTCAATAATACATAGGAGATGAGAGGAGACGGAGCACGTCTGCTAGTGTTGTGGTGAGCAATGCGGGTTTGGATTCACGTTGCGGCAGGAAGATGAGGGAATTGCAACTCTGGAGCTCATGCTCTGGTTGAGTACTTTTATGCCACAGCCTCTGGAAAGGAGATTTTCAACACTACACATCTTACCCAGCTTTCCTTACAGCTTCTCAGAAAAAGGATTTTTGAAAAAAAAAGTGTAAAGGTTGGGTTACATGTAGGCCTACATGTTCAAGGTAGAAATGGTGGTGGTGGTGGACACTTATTTTTGTGAAAAAGATGAGAAAAAAAGAAATGTGGTTTGATCCAAATTGGGGGGGGGGTTGACTGCTGTATTGCAAAATGTTATTTGTTTCACTGTGCTTAGATCAATAATGTAGTAGCAGCCCACTCCTCTCCCTTAGAAAACTGTCTCACAGTCAGCATTTAATGAGCTAGTACGGGAAAAAATATAATGGGTCCTGCCTTGTTATGTCCAGAAAAGGCTCACATGTTGGCTTTCAGTAGAATCACCAAGAATTGACTTTGGAGAGCCAAAATACAAAGAAAAGAAAAGTTTCTAGTAGTTCTCAACTGGTTTGTATGATTTCTGCAATTCTTAAAGCTTCATAAATGTGTGATATTTTTCTCAAATGGCAAACTGTATCTGTGAAAAGATGGTGTTTTCCAGTGCATTACAAAAAGAATACCTTTTCATTCCCTTCAAAGAAGCTAAGTATTGATTGGCATTCACAACAGGGAGGAGAAAAGCCTTCGCTTATTGATTTTTAGTGTTCTAAAAACAAGGATTTACCGGTGCTGCCGTGGAACGGTAGTGGAGTGGCTGAGCAATGCGGAGGGAGTCGCCTGCCTTGCCTCTGTGGAGTTGTCTGTCTATCCTGCCTGAAGTCTTTGGGAAGCTGCTTACAACATAAAACACTTAGCATCTGTAAAGGGAGAGCAGAACATCTATCAAACATGGAAAGATCAAAAACTGTGACTCCCTGCGGAGTAACTGTTGGGAGGGAAACAGCTGACTAATGTTGAACATATTCAGATCTCTGACTTCACCTAATGCACACTGTGAAGGCTGTGTTTGTAGTCAAACGATGATTCATTTTTATGGATGTGGAAAAGCTTTTGTGCTTCTGCCTTAAAAGACACTGGTCTATTATTTTTTTGAGAGGCAGCGCCAGTTGCTTCTGCCTTCTCTTAAGCAAATATAAGGATAAATATTAATCTGGAGTGTGAATTTTTTTTGCTGAAAAGGCGGGCCTGGCCACGGAACGGCTTGGGAGATGGCTTGGTGCTTGGTACACTGAAAAGACTTGAGAGCTGACGAGAGCATTTAAAAACTCAACTTTCTGAAAAAATTCAAGTTCCCTAAACCTCAATGATAATTTGTCCCTTCATGGATATCAAGAGTATTCACTGGACGTGCTCATGCTCAGAAATCAGGAACCACCATGGTTTGGAGGACAAAATCACTGAAACAGCTCACCTTTTCACTTTGAAAGGCTCCTCACACCAATCTCTAAAAAAGCCTTTAAACTGCAGCTCATCTGCTTCAAAAGGTTTGGGTACATAAAAACTTCAGTGATAGCCTTTCCTCACTGCCCAGCCTTAGGAACTTGGCAGGGTCAAGGCAGGAGCACTGCAATGACAGGAGCACTGCAATGGTAGCAGCAGCCCCTGTAGCATCCTTTTCTCGTAGGAAAACACCAGGAGAAGGTTAGATGCTTCTGTCAGATCCTGTGCTGCAGGCAACAGAAAGAGAGATTCTGTGCTACGTGAAGAGTCAAACTACTCCCTCTTCCTGAGCCAATTTCCTCAAATTTGGTTGCTCTCATGCTCTCAGCAGGACCTTTTTCTGCTTTAGTAGGTGGTGGTGGGTAGAAAATGCAGGTGAGATTTCCTTGAACAGTTCTTGGCAGGAGTAAACCTATCCTAATAGTAAGTGCAAATATTTTTAAAGTGAGTGCTACATGTTCAATGGCTGCTACATGGTATATGTGCCTGACATATGATTGGCTTTTCTTATGATGGTTCTGAAAAACAGCTTGAAAAACATGTTGTTGCCTCTAAACAAGTCAGAAAACGCTTAATTAGCAAAGTGCCTTCCACAGTTATTTCTATGAGGAGTAAGGTATTGTCTCAGAAGCATCAAACTCAATGGGAAAAATACGCAAGAAGTGCTAATTTTTTCTCTGGAAATAGTATGATTGGGGATGAGCAGTGTCGTGGTTTAACCTCAGTCGGCA